AGCCATAGCCCTTCTTTCTGGGAGTTCTGTTGGAAATAAACTCTACTATTCCAAGGTGAACTGGGGAAGTCTATGATCCCAGCAGCTCATGGTCTCAAACTGGAATCCTATTCCCAACCTAGAGGTCAGATCTTTGCAAATCACATTGCCTAGAAATTGCCTCTGTCTGTTTGAGCTGTCAAGAATGACCCAAGGCAGGTAGTACCCGGACTGTGGCATCCTTGAGCCCCACGTGCAGGTGCCAATCAGAGCCCCAGGCTGGCAGGCAGGGTTGGGCGGAGTTGGGCAGAGTGCTGGCTATGGTACGGTTTGGTGTTAAACGGGTTTACATTTTCCGGAAGGTCAATTCAGCCTGGACTTCCCCTCTGAATCAAACTCATTAAGAAGGAGAAGGTGAAAAAAAGCCTTACACAGCTTCCCAAGTATTGGCTGGTTCAGCAGAAACAAGTTGTTAAGACTGGCCAAGACAGAGAGGTTACTAGAAGTCGGCAAGCAGGGTTTCCCAACTGAACACATCCTTAGAAGAAAGAAAAGGAGTCTAGATTAACCAGAATTACTCAAGGTCTGCGCTACCCCAGCAATTCACTCATGATGTTCTCATTACTCTGTGCTCTTTTGGTGCAACAGACAAAAAATAAAATCAAAGAAGAGCACAGATGGGAGTAATTTTTTATGCTTTTCATTTTTTCATCAGCAAACCTAAGCTGTAAAAAGCTAGTTTCCCTCCCTTCCATTCTCCTCCCAACTGTCTTGCTTGCTATATGGAGTTCTCTGCAACCTTTCCTTAGATGAGTTATATATATATATATATATATTTTTTTTTTTGAGACAAAGTCTTGCTCTGTTGCCCAGGCTGCAGTGCAGTGGGGCAATCTTGGCTCACTGCAACCTCTGCCTCCTGGGTTTAAGCAATTCCCCTTGCCTCAGCCTCCCAAGTAGCTTAGACTACAGGCGCCTGCCACCATGCCCGACTAATTTTTATATTTTTAGTAGAGACAGGGTTTCATTATGTTGGCCAGACTGGTCTCGAACTCCTGACCTCAGGTGATCCACCCACCTCAGCCTCCCAAAGTGCTCAGATTATAGGCATGAGCCACTGTGCCTGGCCCCAGTTATGTTCTTAATGCATCAATCTATGAGGTCACTATCCACAGACATACAGAAGAGTCTTTGACATTAGCAGTGGGTCACAACAGGTGATTAGCTATTCCGCTCCGATAACTTTTATCCGTTCAACAACCACTTTGCTGAGTATCTACCATGAGTCCAGCATGGTGTCAGGCACCAAGAATACAGCAATGGATAAAACTGCCCAGTACATTCTTATGAAGGGAGAGGTGAGCAAATACATAAGAAATGAATCAGAAAACTACATGGTACATACTGTAAACTAGAGGATAACAGGTTTCAAGCACAAATGTGAAGCAGGGAAGGACAGGACAGGGTTTGCCATTGTTAACAAGGTGGCCAGGGAAGGCCTTGGTGAAGTGACATCAAGTCAGTATCAGAAAGAAACCAGGCGCAAAGCTGGGCAGCTATGTGAGGGGAAAGAATGACTGCAGATACAGAAGTCTGGGGCATCATTTGGTGTGTGTGTGTTTGCTGTAGAAAATGCTGAAATAAACATCAAAGGATGATAGAATATTATGCAACCCTAAAAAAGGAACGTGGTACTAATGCACATTGCAACAGGGATGAACCTTGCAAACATTTGCTAAGTCAAAGAAGCCAGACAATGAACGGCCATATACCATATGGTTTCATTTCCAGAACAGGCAAATCCATAGAGATAGAGAGTAGATGAGTGGGTGCCTTAGGCTTTGGGGGATGGGGAGAAATGGACAGCGACAAGGTGCTCCCCTCGTGGCCTTCTACTTCTTTGCCTACTGAATCCTAGTCTGGATTAATCACAGATCACAAGACAGTCTTTGATTAAAACTCAACAAAACTCTGGCTGGGCCTGGTGGCTCACACCTGTAATCCAAGAACTTTGGGAGGCTGACGTGGGAGGAACACCTGAGATCAGGAGTTCAAGACCAGCCTGGCCAACATGATGAAACCCCATCTCTACTAAAATACAAAAATTAGCCGGGCATGGTGGCGTGCACCTATAGTCCTGGCTTCTCAGGAGGCTGAGGCAGGACAATTGCTTGAATCCAGGAGGCAGAGGTTGCAGTGAGCTGAGATCACACCACTGCATTCTAGCGTAGGTGACAGAGCGAAACGCCATCTCAAAAAAAGAAAAAAAGAACTCCATAAAACTCATTATTTAAAAGGAGCTAGCAGTGAGCAATAAAACAGAGAAGCCCTACTTTGCAGTGGCACCCCTTGTCCATAAAAAGCTCCCCGCCCTCATCAGATGGTTCTTCCATGAGGGCCGTCTTCTCATACCTGCTCTGGGGTCTCTATGGAGGACAACTCACTTCTTCCAGCCTGTCAGCACCAGGGCAGCTGGGGCAGCGCCCCACAGCATTCTGTTCTCTCTTGGGATGGGCGAGCACTCTCTCATAGACATGGCTAGTGGTGAATCTGGCCAGTGATCCCGTTTTTTTTAATGGGTTTTCAAACCTTAAACATAAACTCAATTATGTACTTAAAAATACACATGTGCTGCTGGGGGTGGTGGCTCACGCCTGTAATTCCAGCACTTTGGGAGGCCAATCAGGATCAGGAGGTCAAGAGATTGAGACCATCCTGGTCAACATGGTGAAACCCTGTCTATACTAAAAATACAAAAAAATTAGGTGGATGTGGTGGCATGCACCTGTACTCCCAGCTACTCAGGAGGCTGAGGCAGGGGAATCGCTTGAACCCAGGGTTGTGGAGGTTGCATTGAGCTGAGATCATGCCACTGCACTCCAGCCTGGCGACAGAGCAAGGATCTGTTTAAAAAAAAATTTAAAAATACACATGTGCATGCCTAAAAATACACACACACATGCAGAAGAAATTCTCCCTGCTGTGACTTCTAATGCTCATTAAAGGTAGGACTGGGATTTGGTTTTCAGTCAAATGTGGGGATGGGAGAGGCTGCAGGGCAGAGCTTCTCTGGCTCTTGGCCTTCCTCTTCAAAAGCCAGAGAAGAGACACCCATGGCAAGGAGTCTGTGCTCCCTCCAGGGAGTACAGGGACCCCATGCAGTGCAGCCAATGCCAGTGTACACCTTCCAGAAAGATTATAAGCATTGGTGAAGAAATCTGTGAAACCCCGTGCAGCCTCCAGAAACACCTGCTGGAAAAGCTAGAGAGAAAGAATTGGGTGGTTGGATGAACCATTTCACTGGCCACGGATCTTTTCTGTTTTGTTTTGTTTTCCTGACTCAGGGTCTTGCTCTGCTGCCCAGGCTGGAGTGCAGTGATGTGATCATAGCTCACCGTAGCCTTGAACTCCTGGGCTCAAACAATCCTCCCACCTCAGCCTCCCAAGTAGCTGGGACTATAAGCATGTACCACCACGCCCAGCTAATTAAACACATTTTTTTGGAGGAGTCAAGGGTCTCTCTATGTTGTCCTGGCTGGTCCTGGACTCCTGGCCTCAAGGAATCCTCCCGCCTCAATCTCCCAAAGTGTTGAGATTACAGGCATGAGCCACTGTACCCGGCCTCACTGGAGCTCTTTGAAGTCTCCCCAATCACTGGTTCGATTCTCACCTACACAGGTTTGTCATGAATTCTGCTATCTGTGGGTAACTTCACCACTGCCTGACTAGAGCCACAAGATAGTAAACTGGAAGTCCTGGCTGACACTTTATGATAAGCAGTATCACTCAAGAGGGCCATGCGGCCATGCGCAGAACATTCGATAGGAGAGGTGGAAAGCAAGGGGCCAAGAGCTGGTGAGCTAGGCCACCATGCTGGTTAGCTAGGTCTCCATGCTGGTTAGCTA